AGGAAAAAGATTTGGTTTCCAAGCAAAATTGATGTCATTGAAGGTTGTGTAAGAGATACATGCTTCCAAGTACTGACTGAAAATATAGACCTGTTATTTGGTAAAGTAGTTCCAAGTACTGACTGGAAATGTTACAGGACATTCACTGGCAAAACACAGATCATGAACGTTTGTTTATAAGCTTTGAGTTGATAAACAATGTATAAAGGATGAATAGCTAATACAATTGCCAAAAAAAAAAAAAAAACAAAAACAAAAATCAACACACCCATGTATCCGAGACCAACAATGTCGTAATCACAAAAACAGAGAAACAAAAAGAGATGGAGAAATATATTGAAAAAAAAGGAAAAACCACATAGGAAATAACTAAAGCAATGCATAAGTTAAACCATGAAATTACACAAATGTAGTGTATGTAGAATCAGTACCAGCCAGCATGATTCCAGAAGTGATGTCATTAACATCAGCAAGGAGAGCAGAACGAAAGAATATTCCAGAGGAAGGGAAAAAAGAAGAAAATAAATAGAAAAAAGGAAGTAGAGAGAATGATATGAGATGAAGAAATAGTTAATAAAGAGTGTGTGAGCCCTAAATTTGGGTCTGATACACAGCACCATCACCATGGCTGTGGCAGATTGTCCATGTGAACAAGTGGAATAACAGTGATCAACAGAGGTGGAGAGATAGAGAGGTTACAAGGTTGGTTGCAGCAGATGGAGTCTCAGTTACAGTGAAAGTGAGGCATAGAAAGCAACGAGAAACAAAGGCTGATACTTTGCTGCAACCGACCCCTCTTAATCGGTTTTGAAAAAAAAAATAATAATAAAACATAAAAAAAAGCACTACACAGGCTGATACTTTGAAACTTGATCCCAACTATATGGTGTTGGCTACATGAACCATGTTTTGCCAATCTGTTCTTTTTAAAGCCATATCCACTATTAAATTATTAGTGCTTAAATAATTTATTACTACTTCTACCCATGTCCTTTTTGGTCTACCCCACTCTCTTCTAGCCCCTTCAATGTGTAATAAATCACTTCTTCTAACTGGCGCAGTTGGTGGTCTTCTATGCACGTGCCCAAACCATCTTAGTCTACTCTCTCTCATTTTATCACCTATTGCAGCTACTCCTAGGTTCCTACAGATAACTTCATTCCTAATCCTATCCTTTCTAGCTTTTCCAGTCATCCATCTTAACATTCACATTTTTTACCACATTCATTTTCTGGACATGTTTCTTGGCTGCCCAACACTCTGCTCCATACAACATAGCTCGGCCTCGACTATTTTATAGAATATTCCTTTTAATCCAAGTGCTACTTGCCTATCACATAAAAGTCCAGATGCATCCCTCCATTTTGCCCATCCTGCTCTAATTCTTTGGGTGACATCCTCCTCAATCTCTCCTTTGTTATGAATTGTTGAACCAACGTACCGGAAATAGCCACATTGAGTTATCTTTTGGTCTCCAATCCTAAGTGTATCTTGATTTGCAGTCCTATTATTATTAAATTTACATATCATATACTCTGTTTTAATCCTACTTATTTTAAAACCGCCTGTTTCTAAGGCAATTTGTCTGTAAGCTTAATTTTGCATTTAATCCTTCATTAGTTTCATCAATTAAAACAATGTCATCCGCAAACAACATGCACCATGGAACTTCCTCTTGAATATGTTTAGTCAATTGGGATTCCAAATTGGTAGTGGCTTGGCTACTGGATGAGGAAAGTAGGATGTGGAAGTACAATAATGAGAGGAAAAAATTCAGATGGATCACAAAGGACATGGAACTGAGAATACAGTGGGTGAAAAGAACAGCTAATTCGATGGCTGATGCACTAGCCAAGCAAGGGGTTGGGAGAATTCAAACATTTTGGGCACAAATTAATTTTATATTATAACTAAAGTTAAAGGGGAGAGATAAGAGGGCTTGTCTCTCTCCCACTTTCTCTTGTACAATTTCTTTTAAATTCAATGAAGTAATCAGTTATTCATCAAAATATATATATATATGTTTAGTCAATTCACCTAGGATCAGTGCACATAAATAAGGGCTAAGTGTTGAACCTTGATGAAGATCCATAGTAATTGTAAAATCTGAAGTCTTTGCCACTGGTGAAGATCCATTGGTTGCTGCCCTCTCATCTACGTTCTTAATTAGGTATATACCTATTTTTAACCCCTTTCTTTTCAAGGACCCACCATATTACCTCTCTAGGAACTCTATCATATGCCTTTTCTAGATCAATGAACATTGTACGAAGATCTTTCTTCTTCTCTATGAAATTTTCTGTTAATCGTGTCAAAAGAAATATAGCTTCCATAGTTGATTTCTTTATCATAAAGCCAAATTGGCACAAAGTCAAAGTTCTATTAATTGCTTGAAAAAAAATCTGTACAAGGAGTTTACCTTCATTAGTCTTTCATTTCTTTACAAGTTCCCCATTTGGGGAATCAGTCCCCAATACAACTAATCTCTACCTGTTCGTCAGCCTTGCTAGAGCATCGGCCACACCACTGGCTGACCATGCTGTCCAGTTGTAGACTTCCAACTTCCGTTCCATATAATTGATACTATACCTATAAAAAACAAAGAAAAAAACAAAAGAAGTTTACTCTAAATCTCTATGAACCATATACTTAGTGTATATGATTCATAGAGATTTTGTTTATTCCTAATACAATACCTTACATTTTCAAAAAAAAAAATATTGTTTGAATAGAAAAAGCGCATTTCTTACAAAAAAAATGGGGGTATTTAGAAAGGGAAAAAACAGTAATGTAAAAAACTATGACATTCTGTGTTCTCTCAAACCAGAAAAAAGTACACAATTAATCTATGCATGTAGACTTTTCATTTTTTATCATGTATATTTACCATAATCATAGCAATTGTTAAAAAAGTTGAGTTGGAGGATTTATAAGGAAGCTGCAGCATAGGATGAAAATTAGTTTATTAGATCTCATTAAGAAATATTAGAGATGGTGAGATTGTTAATAGCTAGAAAACAGGAATCCTCAAGTTCACTGAGCAAGATTATCATTTCTTGAGTCAAAAATAAGTAAACACCCATGTATATGTATGTATATATAAGTGGCAATTAGCTTCTATTTCTTTTTTCATTTTTCATAAGTACCAATTTTCAGGTGGGTTAAAGGCTTAAAGACTTGAGATCAACAGCTCACAACAAAAGACTTTATGGGATCTCTTGAAATGCGAAAACATGAGATAACAAAACAAAATATATTTCCACTGGATAGTTGACTAATGACTGCATGTACATGCACCAATACAACTATGGCACATTAAACAAGTCAGACCATAGTGGAATTATCCATCTTCTGCCACTAAAAGGAGCATGGAGATCAACAGGACCACATAAACAGTAGACACAAAAACACTCTTGAAGCAAAGGCAATCAATCTAAGTAGGGGTCGTCAGTTCCAGGTTTTTGGAACCAGAGCCTACCTTGTCATGATCAGTTCCAGTGGTGGTTCTGGCCTTGGCGGTTCTAAGATCGGTTCTAGGGTCTACTCGTGGAACCTGTTCTTTAAAAACCTGAATAATAATAATTTAAAACTTATCATTATAATTTAAAATTTATAAATATTACTTTTTACATTACTTATTATACACATTCAAATATTAAATTGAAGTAAAAATTACCATCAAGGCCAACCAAGGCTGGTTCTCCGCGTTGGTTTGAGTAGGGTAACCCTCTAGAGTCTAGACCATGGAACCGGCTCAGGTGGGGTCGGTTTCCAGAATTTGGAACCATACCCTACCCGGTAACAGATTGGGTAGGGTTGGTTCAAGGCTGGTTTGAGGTCGGTTCCAGGTAGAACCTACCCATTTTCTAACCCCTAAATCTAAGGATGAGCATCTCTGACCAGAAACCTGAGGCTCTCAATCGCCTCTCCTTGGTCACTATTAAAAATTAAACAAACATGCCATGTAATGTTGGTAAAATATACTCAGCCTATGCTAGCCACAAACTATTTAACAAGCTATGTAACCTGATAATTTTCTATCATATTCTCTGCAAACAAAAGTCCTATACAAGAACTAAGCTTCATCCTTCATAGTACAGAGTTGTAGGTTTATTGAAACTGAAATAAAATTAAAATTATGTATAACTCTCTAAAAACAACCTTATTGGCCCTTCTGTCTTCATTATTCCCAATTAAACCATCTAAAACCAAAACCAGATTAAATTTACTTTCCTAATGGTTATGTTTCCACACCACTTTGATAATATTAGTAACAGATAACAGATGAACTTTTCCATCCAGATTGGCACACATAAGATAAAAGGAAAACATCAGAATGCCAGAAAGCCAGATTCCATATTTGATCAGATATTGCAATATTTTCCAATGGAAGAAAGTAGCATCTATGTCTCCATGATAACAAGAAAAGCAAAGATTATAATGCAAAAACATATTGCATGGTGGCAAATGATATCATCAGATTTCTCAAATCCTTAACTGTGATGACATATTGAAGACAGTTACAGGGGAAAAGGGCACATTCACCATACCTGTGAAATGGATATATACAACAATTCTGGAGTAAACCTCTACCCCAATGATCTCAGTTTCTGCAAATAAGAACATTAAAAAAAGGTAAAACCAATGAAGGTTTGCTACTTTATTTATCAACAGACCAACAGCAAATGGTATTGGTGGCAATAAATCAGTTGTTTATGTTTTACTTCTTTTCACCTGCAAAGGACAGAGCTGAGAATATTAAATCCTTGACACCAAACAATAGTCATTAAGAATAAAGGGATCTGAGATCTTACCACAATGGGTCAGAAAAAGCACAGCATATTATTGCAAGGATCACAGAGAGGATGTTACAGCTCCCTTACCAAGCCATTCTCCATTTAGAATGTTCAACAGAAAATAAAGAATCAAATCAAAACAAAAATGCATGTCAAGAATTAAAGAAAAATCAGTGCTGGTACAAAGGCTCGTAGAACAATAGATTAATAAAAATCATATCATTACTGATCTATTTGAATTATTCAATTTAATTTAGACTTTGAGGTGAGAAAAGTTTGAGGAGAAACGAATGAAGCCACCTATAAATCACATTTAATGTAATTCAAGCACATCGTTAACAAAAATAATCACTCACTAAAAATATTGTTAGCACTCAACGAGGAGGAATACACCTTTACTCATTCTTCCAAGCATACAAAATCAGTGAAAAACCAAGGCCCTGTAATTGGGAATCTCTAAATATTTGCGAGCAAGACCAAGGAATTATAGTGGGATCAGAGGACGTATGGCTGCCCCACAACTTCTCAGCGGAAAGGCAAGTCTGGAACATAAAAACTGCACTTCCAAGAGCTGGACCAAAGAGCCAGTTGTGGACATCCCAGAAAACTTCAACTGGAAGCCCATCAACCAAAATAGTTTGGTTTCCACGAAACTTCCATCTGAGGCGCTTCACTTGCATCACCGTCTTAGTGTCTATGCGGATCAAGAGGCAGGGGTCGTTCAGACCAACCGTATCACACTCGATCGTAACGTCATGGATCTGTCCATTATCGCAGAACTGCGCTTTGGTGCCATAAACCCTCTTTCCGAAAATGTGCTCCCTCTTAGCGATGAAAATAGCACTGGAAGGAACAGGCGCCGCGCTGGTCTTCTTGTATGCCTCCTTACTCAAATCCCCAAGGAGGAGAACCATCTCCCGATCAAAGACGACAGCCAGATAGAAGCCTTCCAATGGCTCAGGGCTGGATCCAAATTTAGCCGATGAGAGGTCCCAGTATATATCAACTTTACTAGAATCTGCCTCTAAACTCTTGAACCCTTTTCTCTTGGAGAACAACCAGGGTTTTATATCAACTTTACAGAGACATTGGTTGGTAGAATCATCGATCCCAACGCTAAGGCCTTGACCCATCAGGTTCTTGCTCCATGTAACAGTAATCAAGCAAGACCGGCCGCGTAATCTACTCCGGTAAACGCATGTAACCAAATTTTGAGCAGTTTTGCTGGCATTGGAAGAGGAATCCGCAACTTGAACCCCATTTTCGCCAAAGCAAGAAGGGAAATCTCTCATCCTGATACCAAGGACCTCAATTTTTCTCTTTTTTTTTTCCTTCTTCTCTGTACCTGCTGTACACTAGTTTATAGAGGCAAATATCTGATCTTTTTTTTGAGGCAAGGATTGAACCCCAAAAGAAATAACCGACTCCAAAGATAAGAAAACCGAAAGGAAAACAATAGGAGATGAGAACTGCCCCTGCTTCAATCAATTAACACTCCCACTGCTTCAAAACCTGCTTGTGAAGGCTTGCTATGATCTGCGTCCTGGTTTTTTTTCTGATGACCCTCCTCCGCAGTAGCAGAAATCAACCCGTTTAGAGAAAGGACAAGACCGGCTCATAAATTACAGACAAATTTGGGGAATGTAGGTAGTAAATAAGAAAACTGGGAGAAGTAGACAATGGACTAGTTTCATTGTCAGCATCTCTGCTAAAACCATGGCTAAAATGACTTAAAAAGAAATAAAGGAAAGAGAAAAAGAAAGCCCGAATTCAGGAGGTTAATAGAGAAGGAGACAGCTTGAATGATCTAAAGAAGATGAAGAGATACCAAAGAACGGAAGCCTCCTGCTCCAGGCTCAAACAGAAAAAACAGCAACTGAGTATTGCTGGAAAGGCTGGTTAAAAAAAAAGCAAAAAGCATCATTCTCACCCTCGCTTCTCTCTCATCATAAAAATCATATAGACCTTCTTTTACCTGACATAATCACATGTATTAGAGGTGAAAAAAAACCAAAGCTATGATGTCAACTTTCACAGGGTATTTGTAATTAAGAGACTCTTCGGATTAAAGATACTTTGAGGAGAACCCTGTTGATCGATTTAAGTGGAGAAGACGACTTGGAACCACCTCTTTCATGGAAATTAAATAGCAATAATAGCCAATTTAATTACTTAATTAATTAAGGAAGAGTAAAGTTGGAGAAAACGTTTAGAGAGGTAGCCAGGCCAGGGGCTATGTTAATCCAAACTTGCACGAAGTTAAATTTAATTGGGATTTGGGAAGAGCCCTCTTTCCACACTTGACATAATCCCATCACTGCTGCCAACCCATCACTATTCACTACCCAAACAAGATATCCAGACCTCTCTCTCTCTCTCTAGAAAATCTTTTATATTTTATTGTAATAAGAATGTATTTTACCTATAATGAATATTTGCCTAAGTGTTAACTATCTAAGTATATTTTATTTGTGAAGATGTAAAAGAGTGGGGGGCAAAAGTTTGTTTGGCTTGATTTCTCTTTCTCTCTCTCTATGGACGAAAAAGAAAGTTGTGGTGTTCACGTGTGTTTCTTTGTCCATGCTCACTTGGCATATATGATGAATTGGGCTGGATTCAGACCACTTGTATTTGGATTATGTTAAGAAGAGTGTTGGAAGATGGTTACTGGACCTGTGCAGGCCCATTTGGCCTTAATTTACTATAAAATCAACCTTATTACCTTAACAAATGTTAGGTTCCTGTCTCAAGACACTGAGAAGTGTAAGTGTAACCTATTTAAATCATTTTACAGTTTTAAGGTTTAGTTTAACTCTAACATACTTTGGGTTTAGTTCTGTTTGATCCAAATCAGCAGAGTTGTTAATATATACTACCAACTGAACTAATGGACCACAGTGGAAACACTAATTAGTTAAAAGAGTAAAAGAATCAACTTTGGCATGGTGGGTCTTCTTGGGCAACATCATCAATGCCCAATATTGAGTTCGGGAATATCATCTCAGTCATGGTGAGGTGAGCCCAACAATCAAAGCCCATATGAATATGGGGTGGCCGGGTGGAGGAGAAATGGCATGAGAAGCCTGAAAGATACTGCATTGCTTTGCTTTCAAATGTGATGTAAGATATTAGTAGAAAGAAGGAATGGTGTTTCCATACCTAATTTGTCCATGTCTGTTAGGTAATTTTCACATTAAAGATGCCATGGCCCATGTGTTTGGGCCCGTCACTTTTCGTCTGTCACCAACTTCTCCTACCTTTACAAACATCAAACACGTTAAATACAATATGAATTAGGACGGTTTATCCTGTCTTGGCCAAGGTACCGAAAGTGTTTGTTCATGAACCCAAGTGACAGGTGATAAGACGACCATTTTAAATATCTGAAAACAACCTCTTTGGACCCAAATGCATACATATATGTAATTAACGTTGTTACTGTTGCATTGACCTGCAGACTCTTAAAACCACACTGGTGTTTTCACTCAGTTTTTTAGAGAGAGAGAGAGAGTATTGATTGCGCCAAGAACTATCAACAAACACAAGACCCATAGGAAAAACTATGGCCTTTCCAGACTTATTGCAATGGGATATTTTGAGAAGCCTTAACATTCAGATATATTACCAACTGTTGGTGGATCAATTGGTGAGTTCTCTGGAAGGATGTGGCAGAGACTTGGGATCAATTCCCGCTGCCACCAGGATTGGGGATTTATGGGTGTAGAGGACGGGCTATCCCCTTGTGTAGTCCCATGAAACCCAAAGAATAAAAACATTAAAAAATATTAGAAAATTAAGAGGATAATAAGTAAAAAAAAATTACATCCACCCTGGTTTAATTCAATCAAATGCATCCAACCCCACAACTGGCTTTTCAAAATTTCTCTGTACTATGCTCTAGGTGTAAGACAAAGCATCAAATTTTGATATTTCTAGATCAGAAGCAACCAAAATATCATTAATCAATTGACCATGTTGGCTCTTGTGGTCCTAAAGCATTTAAAGGATGCCTAATTTTATGCATCAAGGTACTGATGCAAATGACTTGCAGATAAGGGAAACTTTGAAAACACAAAGGGACGAATGCCAATTCACTAAAACACCGGAAATGAATTGAAGAACAACCATTTAAAATTGTCTTTATTACCCAAGATTTGTCAAAGTAAATGATGGGAAATATAATGCACAGTAGGCACTAATTTATATCAAACAAGCAACAGAGTTGGGAATTATATATATATATATATATGAAGAAACTTTCTCCTTTTTTTTTGAATTTTCTATTTTTTAATCCATGTTATTTTGATACCAACGACAACTTCCAAAATCCCCTTTGCTTATTTTACGATTTTTTGTTTTGTTTTTTTTATTTTTAATTCTACGTAATTCCATCTAAATAAGCATATAGCTCACGTTTCGGGAGATTTTCCTAGCCTAACGAACTCTCTCCACTCAACTTTGAATGAAACACGATTCTAGGTCGTGTTATACTCGGATTCCTTCTGGGTTATATTTTTTCTATAACTTGATGAACTATTTCCTTCCTACTAACCCTTATTCTTCACATTTGGAGAAGCTTGAAGTTTGAGAATCCCATATAAAGAAAGATGATACAATAGCTTGAGAATCCCACCCCGGTGGTTTTGCTCTATTTTCTTCCATTTCCAGTAGAAGTTTTTCAAACAATTCGAGAGCTAGATAAAACAGCTATAATTGGTTCTTTGACATCACTTTCCTTCTGTCAACGCTCCATCCTTTATTTTGCTAACCATAGATTCATACTTGACCACACCAAAACAGGGGTGAGAATGTTGTGGTTATTTTTTGTTGTTCATTCTATTCCAATGGTAATTTTGCTTTGTTTATGGCATTATGAGCATTGGATCGAGCAAACTTTTTAAAGGTATGCTATTGGTTCTCTGACATTCGTTTAGTTTTGTTAGTGCTCCCTGTTTTGCTAATCATACTCATACTTGAACATTACAAAACAAGGGGAGAGTGTTGCAATCGTTTTCTTTTTCTTTTCTTTTCTTTTTGTTTTGTTTCAGAAAGGAAAACAAAACTAATTTGGAAGTTGTTGGAACGTCAAGAGTTTAGTCGTTAGTCATTTTTGGGTGATCAAACTCTTGGTATTCATAGGGAGGTGTAAAAACGATCAAATTCTCAATCACTGGTCCTTTTTTCAATCTCAAACACAAGTATGTATTTCACACCATTTCCAATATCTACGAGTTGTTTTTGGTGTTCATTATTGTCGGCAACTTTTTCAAACACCATTTAGGAGTGAAAGGGATCGAAACAAGGGTGAATATCTCACCCCCAATTTCTGTATTTCATCACCATGTCGAATGACACTGTTAGCTTCATTCAGGTTATGAAGATAATTATTTTGCATTGGATTCTAGATAGCCTGACTCAAATCTAGCCCATAACCATATAAATAAACCATTTTAATGACAAACTGGACCAGTTTCATCCTTTTGAACCGATCCAATTTTGTCTTTTAACTAATAACTATTAATAACCAATTATTACTGTTAATTTCTCAAAATAATTAATGATATTTAAAACCAATGCAAACCAGCCGCATTAATAAATTATAATAATTACATTAATTAATAAATAATTATTACTTACAATTCAAGCTATTAATAACCAATCACTACTATTAATTTCTGAAGATAATTAATGATATTTAATTTATTAGTAAATTACATGACACACCGGTTTCATTCGTTTTTATATAAATTAATCATTAATAATCATTTATAATTATTGACTAACTGTAAATTATGAAAATCATAAACACTACCCAAAAATGATTTATTACAATTTGGAATAATTATTGAATATTGAATATTATTTTTTAGTTATTTGATATAATTAATTTGCACTTACTAAATAATTATAATATTTTTATTTATTTTTTATATTTTTTACTTATTTGATTTAATGGTTTTAGTAATTGTTGTTGTTGTTGTTGTCGTTGTATTTTAATCTTTTTAAGTTTCAGTTACTTTTAATATTTTCAGTAATGCACTAATTATAACTTTCAGTAATTAATATTTGTAATTATTTCATAATAATATTTTTTAATATTACTGAAAATATTAGAACAAATTGATTATTTGAAGTTTCAAAAGTTTAGTATAAATTAGTTTAATTTTGGAAAAATACTAAATTTTAAACATTTTTTGTATATTTAGTGAATAATTACTAATAAATTGCTGATTATTGATATTTACGACAACTACAAACTTTTTCAAGAAATAATTTATTGATATTTGAATAAATTAATCATTATTTTTATATTATTTGCATTTTAAATTATAAATTTCAATAATTTTAATGTTTCAGTGATTAATATTTTCAATTATTTTATATTAATATTTTTATTGTTATTGAAAATATTAAAATAAATTGGTTCTTGAAAATTTGAAAAAAAAAAGTATAATTTAGTGTAATTTCATCAGAAAATTACTGTATTTTGAAACATATTTGTATAATTAATGAATAATTATTGATATGTTACTGAATTATTGTATATTTTTAAATACAAATAAACTAGTGAATTAGTGGATTTTTTTTTTTTTTTGTAAACCTCAGAAAGCTTCTATTACTCATAGCAAAATATTACTTACGTTACCTTGACAGTTCATACGTTCAACTACGATAAGTTATATCAAAAAAGTATAAGAGATGTAGAATGTTTTGCTTGATGTTGTAAACTTGCCACTCCGATACTGTTGACCATGCTTTCTGAGTCAGAAAATATAGCCAATCTCTTCATCTTCATCTTTATGGCATATTGAATGCCATGTAAGAGAGCCCTCCATTCGGCTTGAAGGAGTTAGCAGCTATGACCCTTCTACTGCCTGAGAAGACCTCCTTATCGTTTGCTGTGATGATCCAAACTCCTGTTCCTGCCATGCTAGATGAAGGGTTAAAAGACCCGTCGATAAACAATTTGAATTGAACAGCTAAGATGATATGGGAATGCATGAATGACGGGTGGGGGGACTGTATTGCTTCATTTGGGACTAAATACAAGCACGTGTGATGGATTAAACGTGCTGGGTTGATGATTTTCTTCTTGTGCTCCGCTGCATTTCTCATATCCCATATTAATCTGAA